AGCACCCCCAGACGCAGCACCCCCAGGCTCAGCACCCCTAGCAGGACGAGAGTCAACAGCTACCTCGACAGGCTCACCCGGGTCTACCTGGGACACACCTGAGGGAGCGGCACCCTGAGGGGGGAGGGGGTCTGGTACCTCAGCACCTGGAGCGAGGAAGAGAGGCGGGGGGGGGAGCGGGGCAGTGCGGTAGGGGAAGAGGCGGTAGTAGGGGACGGACTCGTCAAAAGTGACGTCCTGAGAGGCCAGGACACGACGCGAGGTGGGGTGGTAGAACTGCCAGCCAGGGGCGTCCGGGACAAAGCCAAGGAAGACGCAGGGGACAGCGCGACGGGAGAGCTTGTCCGCGGACGTGTCGCGGACAAAAGCTCGGGATCCCCAGACCCGAAAACGCGACGCATCGCCAGCCTCTCCCGTCCAACGCAGTGTCGGAGAAGTCTCGGGCAAGGAGACACGGGGCCAGAGGTTGAGCTGATGCGCAGCGTATCGGACTGCAAACGGCCACAGAAAATGGGGGGCAGCCGCATGGCTCAAGGAGGTACGAGCGACCTCCATGACCAGACCAATGCGGCGCTCAGCAACCCCATTCTGCTGTGGAGAGGCCGGAAGCGTGTACGACTGCTCAATGCCCTCCTGCTGACAGAAGGCCTCCAATAGGCCAGAGGAAAACTCCCCACCTCTGTCAGAGTGCAGACGCAGGACAGGGAAGTCGGAGCGGAAACGCTCACGGAGCTGGAGACGAGATCTGCGGATCCAAGGGATCAAGACATCAGGGACGTCACCCTTGGCGCGCAAGGGGAAGACCGTGGTGTAGCGCGAGAAGTCGTCAACAACAATCAGGAAGTACCTCTCCTGGCCCTGACCACGGACGCGGGCTGGGCCCCACACGTCCATGTGGAGCGTCTGCAAGGGAGCAGTCGTTGGGGGAAAGGAGGAGGAGTGAGGAACGGCGCGCTGCCGTCCCTCGACACAGGGAATACAGGGAGGAGCAGGCGAGTCGGGAAGGGGAGGGAGCACCCTGGGAAGACCAGCAACAAGGTCCCGTTGGTGCATGGCCCGAAGGCGCTGCACAGACGGGTGACCAAGGCGGTGGTGCCAAAGGACAGTCTCATGCGCCAGAGAGCGACACGAGCAGGGGGCGGACAGCTGACCTGACGCAGACGCAGACGCGGACGCAGCTACCTGAGGGGACTCAGTGGTCAGTGTGTAAAGGTCCGACCCCGGCTCCCGAGTGAAGGTAGCCAGGTGGCGACCCGTCCGAGCACACGTGCAGTGTGTCACGCGCTCGTAGGCAGGGGTGAACTGGTGGACACCCCCGTCCTGGAGCGCACTACCTGCCACCAAGTTCGTAGAGAACGAGGGGAGGTAGAGACCTGACAGCGTGCCGGACGGGACCGCCGGACAAGGAAGGACAGTGGAGGAGGTCGCAATGACCGGACCCCCAGAGGGGTCAGCAAGGGAGACAGCAACTGGCCGAGCGAGTGGCTCAAGGACAGTGCGGTCACGAAAGAAGGAGCGAGAAGCACCTGAGTCCAGGGTGAAGGTGTGCAGTGCTGCAGTCGACTCAGTACCAGGGGGCACGGACGCACGAGCACCTAGGGCTGCAGCCTCACCAGGACCTGTGGGAGCAGACACACTAGCACCTAGAGCGGCAGCCGGACTGGCCTGAATGCCCGGGTCGGGCGGAACACGCAAGTACTGAGCACCCTCTCCACTAATAGACATCGCATACATGGCAGTGAGAATAGCATCAAAGTCTAAAGCCCAAATATCAACACCCCTCTTTTCCAGATCAGCCCAGCGCGGCAGCTCAGTGGCAGCAGGAAACTGAGTGCGCCACGCGTCGTTAAGGCGCGCGAAGCAGCGCTGCGTGGGGTGCGGCCTCCCACACTGCTGGCCGCTGCGGTCACCTGTGCGAATGACGTACGTGCAGGTAACGCTACGCTGCGCATACCACTCACGGGCGGCCTGAAGCGTCGGGGCGGGCTGCTGACTCTGCCCTCCGCCAGTGCCTCCACGACCACCACCCCCACCGCCGCCGCCCCGGCCACCTCCACCCCTGCCGCCGCCACGACCACCTCCGCCTCCGCTGCCGCCTCCACCACCACTCCCACCGCCGCTGTCTCCTCCCCCACTGCCGCCACTAGTCTCCCCAGCCGCGCCTCCACTCCCACCGCCTCCACCCCCACCTCCTCCGCCGCCACCCCCACCCCTGCCCCCCTTGTTCCTGCGGCGCCCGCTCGAAGCAGACGCGGTCCCGACCTTCTCAGCACCAAGAAGGTCGACAGCAGCAGCAGAGGCGACAGAGGGGAGGAGGGGGGAAGGGGAACACCCCTCAAAGAACGGGGTGCGGGGGTCGCCACGAGAGGTGCCTACAGCGACGATGCTCGCCTCAGCTGCAAGCAGTTCCTTCTCGAGGAGGGCAACAGTGAGCTCAGTGGGGGAGCGAGAGAGGAAGTGGTCCCTGACTGCGCGCAGAGAGTCAGGGAGGCGGGTGACGATGTGGTAGAGAGTGATCCAGAGCGGGGGGGGGTTGCTAGTGAGAAACTCGGCAGGCATAGCAGCGCGAAAGCGGGCCTCACTAGTCTTAAGGTGGGTGATGAGGTCTGCGACAGTGTGAAAGGAGGCTAGGTCAGGGAACAGGTAGGGGAGAGTGAGGCGGCCTAGCGTGGCAGAAGCGGGTGAGGAGTAGCGGGCAACTACAGCGGTGTAGAGGTCCTTAGCAGTCTTGCACTGGCCGAAGTGCTCGCGCTCGTCTAGCGGCAGGGAGTTGCGAATAGCAAAGCGAGCGTGCGCATCACGGGTCTGCCACTGAGAACGCAGAGTGCTGTCAGCAGACGAGTCAGGGGCAGTGGCATGGCCTAGGGCGTGGTCGTACAGTGAGATATCTTCCTTGGCAGTGAGCTGTAGGAACAGGTGCAGGTCATCTAGCCAGGTTTCGAACTTCACTGGACGGCCCTCGGCATCGAAAGCTAGAACTGGCGGACTAGCCATAGCGACAGTAGCAGTAGCAGTAGTAGCAGTAGTAACAGTAGTAGTAGGAAGCAGGCCGCTGGAAAGGTGTGCGGAGGGTCAACGGGGCCGGCGGGGCCGCTAGGCAAGGCGCGGGCGGGGTCGACTGTCCGTAGTGGCACACGAGCGGCAGTAGTAGGACGGTAGGTAGAAAATAAACAACAGTGAGAGCGAGTGCCTCGCGGGCGGCGGCTGCAGAAGCGCACGGGCGGCAGCGGCGCACGGGGAACGGCGGTGCACGGGCAGCGGCAGTGCACGGGCAGCGGGAGCGTAGGGGCAGCGGCGGCGCACGGGCAGCGGCGGCGCACAGGCAGCGGCGGCGCTCGGGAGGCAGCAGTGCGCAAGCAGCAGCGGAAGCAGCGGCGTACGAGCGGCTGCGGGCAGCGGGGCGTGCGCGAGCAGGCGACGGGCTTATACGCACGGGCAGCAGCGCCGACAGCGCACGGGCGGCTGCAGCAGCGAGCGGTGCGCAAGCAGCAGCGGCAGCAGCGCACGGGTGGCAGCGGCGTCGGTGCACGGGCGGCAGCGGCGTCGGCGGACGGGCGGTTGCGGGCAGCTGCGGCGGCGAGCTGCGGGCCTGCGGGGCCACGGCGGGGTGTGCGCGAGCGGGCGACGGGCGGCTGCAGCAGCGGGCGCGTCAGCGAGGCGCACAGGCAGCGCGCGGGCAGCGTGCGGGGCCGCGCGTAAAGAAAACAGCCGCGCGCGTGCGGCTAGCGGGGCGCGCGCAGCGAAATCGACCGCGCGCGGGCGGCTAGCGGGATACGCGCGCAAAAAAAAAGTCGAGTCGCGCGCGGGCGGCTGCTAGGCTGCGCGCGCGCGGTAGGTAGGAGGCGCACGAGGGCGCGTAGGCGCACGAGGCGCACGGTAGGTAGGTAGGTATGTAGGTAACGGTGGGCCCTAAGAACAGTCCTAGCGAAGGACCTGCTCTGAAACCATGTCAGAAATAACGGACTGGAATGATGGACTAGCAAGGATTGTGAGTACAAATATGAAACCCTAATGTTGTGACCCCCCTATAGGCTAACCCACTACAGCCTACACAAATACAACATGTATAATGTTTGACACTTATATCCGGGCGATGATGGTAAAATGGAAATAGCGTGTTGTGCAATCGCTTGAATGCGTTCGAAACTAAAAAGTTGCGTGCGAATGCCGTCACTTTTAACAAGAAGGAAGGGCGTGCAGGAGGGATGTGTCAGAATCCCAGCCACTAACCACTGGGATAAAAGGGCTTGTTTATGTAGCGGGTGAGTGCGCCCATAACCCCCCAGGCCAACGTGCCTGTAACCCTTCCCTAGGATCAATCGGGGATCACCAGTGGACCTCTGACACCCCCCCGCACTGGGATGCCCGAGGTGCACACACCGAGATTCGAACCCAAGACCTTCGCTCTGATACCATGTCAGAATCCCAGCCACTAACCATTGGGATAAAAGGGCTTGTTTATGTAGCGGGTGAGTGCGCCCATAACCCCCCAGGCCAACGTGCCTGTAACCCTTCCCTAGGATCAATCGGGGATCACCAGTGGACCTCTGACAGGATGGGGGCAAGATTGATAGGCGCAGAGTTGGGTTTGAGTCTAACGGTATTACATTCGTCGAGGTTCTCGGTGTTTGCACGATCGTCATCGTCGTCGCGCTCGTGATTGAGAGGAGGAGGAGCACGAGGACGAGGTGCTATTGCAGCCGCTGGTGCCGGGTCGCCGGTGTTGTTGCGTTGAAGCGCAGCAAGAAGACCGAGAGCGTGCCGAATCGCCTCGTTGTCGTTTGCTTCCGCTCCAATATTGACTTGAGTATAACGTGCAGAATTTATTTCTGCAGTGCGCCGCTCCGTTGATGCACTGGATCTTGCTGCAACGCGTTCGCCGGCAGTATCAGCGAAAATTCGCCTCAGATGTTGCTGGCTGGCGTGGTCAAGGCGAGTAATAATGTTGGCGATTTCCGCGATCCCCTGCAGATTGCGCGGATCCTGCTGCTCGCCCTGATTCACGCGACGATTTGCAGAATCAGGGCGACGATCGTCACGCGCCTGGTCTCGATTCTGACGCTCCGTGCGCAGATTCTCGCGATCTGCACGTGCAGAATCTCGCTCGCGTTCTGCACGTGCAGAATCTCGCTCGCGTTCTGCACGTGCAGAATCGCGATCACGATCTGCCCGAGCAGAATCGCGTTGATTGCGATCTGCTCGGGCAGATTCGCGATGATTGCGATCAGCCGGCGCAGGACCGCGATCATTACGGTCCTGCGCCTGAGCTGCAGTGGCCGGCCGCGCTGGGGCGTTTTCGCCATGCTCGAGTTGTTCGCTGGTTGCACGTGGGGCTCGCCCTTCGCCGTGAAACCTGGGGGGGACGCGGTCGTTACCACCATTCCGATTTGTTTTGTCGGCAATGACACCAGATGCGCGAACAGAAGGTTGACGCGCACTGTTGAGAAGCTCCAATGCAGTAACAGCCGCATTTCCGCTAGTTCTTGGAGATCGGGAACGCTCGCGGTGGGAGGAAGAAGCCCCATCTTCCTCGCGTTGCGGCCCCATTTTCCTGTTTCTAGTTTTCGCCTATGATTCCGACATGCTATCAGAGCGGTTACGTTCCTGGCCGATGGGCCCACCGTTAGCTTCCGCTGCTGTCGTGTCTGTCGCGCACCCCGTGGCGCGCGACGGTTTTTCTTCCCGCCACGCGCTCAGGGCGCATGGTTGTTTCCTGCTCGCCGCGCGCACGAATCGCGCGGCCGTTTTCTGCCCGCCATGCGTCCCGAGGCGCGCGGCGGTTTCCTACCCCGTCGACCCGCGCGTCGCCCCCCGTCGACCGTCGAAGCGCCCCCCGTCGCCCGTCGAAGCGCCCCTGGGTCCCGCGCGGGCCGCGCGCGGCCCGTACGACCTGCGCCAGGCCCGCGCGCGGCCCGTACAGGCTGCGCCAGGCCCACGCGCGGCCCGTATTGGCTGCGCCAGGCCCGCGCGCGGCCCGGGCAGCCCGCGCGCGGTTCGTCCGGCCTGCGCCAGGCCCGTGTTCGGCCCGTACAGTCTGCCCCAGTGCCGCACGCCGTCCCCCGAGCTGCTGACCGCGCCCCACCCCTGCTGCTGCCCGCGCTCCTGTGTTAGGGTTTGGGGGTGGAGAGTATGGGGGTGCCGGGTGTGTGAGCCGTCCCCTGCTCCTCCTCCTCCTCCGTCTCCCACTGCTGCAGCTGCCGCTGAGGGGGTTGGATTGTCAGAATCTAGAATAGAACGAGAATGGATGAACTAGCAGGAAGGTGGGTACAAGTATGAAACCCTAAGTTTGTGTACCCTCTAAGGCTAAACCCACTATAGCCTACACAATATAAACATGCAATGTTTGACACACCCCCATAGGCGAAGTGGGAGACAACCAGAGGGTCACAAGACCAGTCAAAGCAAAGCAAAGCAAAACAGGCTCAGGGTGGATCTCAAGGATACCACACAAATTCCGAGCACAAGCAAGCGGTCACAAGACCAGTTCACATGCAGTTTGATAATATAGCAAGAGATACAGTGATCACAACCTAGCAAGTGTAAGCATGCAGGTATATATATAGAGATCACAGTACAAACAGAGTCAAGAAGTAAGCAAGTGAGGTCCAGCAGGCACAAGGCCTAGAAGAGTACAGAAGCGCTGATGGTCACAAGGCTGAAGCGCCTTGGTGAACACATCAGCAGTGTTGGCCTCAGTGGCCACGTAACGCAGACAAAGCTGACCGCGCTGCTGCAGCTCTCGAGCAAGGAAGTACCGCAGAGCAATATGCTTCGTTCTGTGCTCCAGTCTGTGCTCCTCACACAAGGCAATGGCAGCCTTGTTGTCGACGTACAGCACTGGAGGAGAACGAGGCCGCTCTCCCAAGTCGGTCAGCAGGTAGGTCAGCCAGCGTAGCTCCTGGGCCGCCATGGCTGTGGCGTAGATCTCAGCCTCACAACTGGAGCTGAGAACAGAAGAAGAGCGTGTGGAACGCCAAGAAACTGAGCCGGAGCCAAGGCTGAAGGTGTAACCCTGAGACGACCGCTGAGTAGCCTGGTCGTCCGCCCAAGAAGCGTCTGAGTGACCAGTGAGTACAACTCGGTCTCGCCCTCCAAGCACTAGCCCCATGCCCGACGTACTGCACAAGTAGCGCAACACCCTCTTAGCAGCATCCATGTGCTCCTTCCTGTGACGGCCAGGAGCGACATAGCGTGCAAGGATGCTAAGAGGGTATGCAAGGTCAGGTCGAGTGCAGGTCATCAGGTACATGAGGCAGCCCACAAGCTCTGGATACGGGCCACTCGGCTCTACGGACTCATCCGAAGGCAGAGCTGAGAGCGAGTGACCTGTAGGCAGAGGAGTGGACTGTGGCGAGGAGTACGTGAAGCGGAAGCGCTGAAGGATCTGCTGCACCATGTGTGACTGAGTCAAGGTAATGGTGCGCCGTGCTCTGTCCCGGGTGATCCGCAAGCCAAGATAGCTTGTCAGTTCACCCAGGTCTGTGCACGTGTGTCTCTTCTGCAGCTCCGACTTCACGTGGGCGAGTGCCGCAGTGTCAGCAGTGGCAAAGACCAAGTCGTCGACGTACACGAGGATGTAGAACGGCGGCAGCGAGGTGTCGGTGCGTAGAAACAGCGACGGGTCAGCAGTAGAAGGAGCGAACCCAAGAGCCGCAAGTGTAGTCCTCAGTGTGTCGTGCCACTCACGCGGCGCCTGGCGGAGACCGTAGACCGGTCGCTGGAGCCTCCACTGGGTGCCAGGAGGAACCGACCCAGTGAAGCCAGGAGGGCGACGCAGCCAGATCTCCTCGTGCAGGCTGCCCTGCAAGAAAGCTGTGCTGAAGTCAAGTGAGTGAAGCTCGTAGTCGCGCTGAGCGGCTATGTGCAGCAGCACCCGAAGAGTGGTTATCTTCGGGGTGGGGGAGAAGGTCTGGAAGAAGTCTACTCCCTCTCGCTGACTGAAGCCTCGAGCAACGTAGCGCGCCTTGAAGACAGGAGGAGAACCCGGCGGCCGCTTCACCCTGAAAATCCACATGCCACTGACGATGTTCGCCCCAGGTGGGGGAACCTCGTCGACGTAGGTGCCTGTGGACTTCCAGGAAGCCATCTCTGCATCCATAGCTGTCTGCCACTGAGAGGAGTAGGGACCCTCTATCGCCTCTGCGTAAGAGCGCGGGGTCGGGATGTCTGGTGCATCCGGGTCTCCCTCAGGGGCAACTAGCATGGACACGAGATGGGGCAAAGCAGCAGCAAAGCACTGGAACTCCTCCTGTCTGTCCTCAAGGACGTCCATGCCAAGAGCACACTCACCCCCGACGGACGGAGGACAGACAGACTCAGACTCAGCAACAAGGCTAGCGGCGTAGTCTAGACGACACCGGGCAGCAAAGTCAACCAACTCAGCGACCAGAGCAGACGCAGCAGAGGACTCAAAGGTAGGGTCAGTGACAACAGTGGCAAGGAGACGCGTGACAGTGGGACTGGCAGCACGACGGGAGTCAGACTCCGGGTCAGGAAGAGTAGGTAGAGAGGACGCAGGAGGAGACGGTAGAGGGACACGCTGAGGAGCAGTGGAGGGACGCAGGGTCATGTAGTGAGTGCCAGGGACAGGAGGAGGACGCTCACGTGGGACACGACGACCAGTGCGAGCAGTACGAACAGGCGACGCAGGACGAGACTCAGGCTCACGACGCTCCGTAAGACCTCCTGTGGGACCAGTGTAAGGAGAGGGACCAGGGAGAGGCGAGGCAGGCGGTAACTGGGACTGCGACTGGACAGGCGGAGGACACTCTAAGGAGGGAGCAGGACAAGGAGGAGGAGCCTGACCAAGAACCTGCTGAAGGAGTGGTACGAAGTACGGTCGCGGCCGCGCAGCGTCTCCAGAACCACCAGAGACACCAGCGCCAGGGTCCTCAGCACCAGCAGTAGCTCCACCGCCCGGGTCCTCAGCACCAGCAGCAGCTCCACCCCTCGGGTCCTCAGCGCCAGCAGCAGCTCCACCGCTCGGGTCCTCAGCACCAGCAGTAGCTCCACCGCTCGGGTCCTCAGCACCAGCAGTAGCTCCAACTCCAGGGTCCGTAGCACCAGCAGCAGCTCCACCGGCCGGGTCCTCCGCACCAGCAGCAGCTCCACCGCCCGGGTCCTCAGCACCAGCAGCAGCTCCAACTCCAGGGTCCGCAGCACCAGGAGCGCCACTCCGAAGGCTGCAGCGCCGTGTGTACCACTCTCGGATCTGCTGAAGGGAGGGGAGCTCCCGGGTAGGAGGGGAAGCACTGGTACCCGCTCCAGCAGCACCTCTCCGGAGGTCGCAGTACTGTAGGTACCTCTCCTGCAGCTGCTGCGAGGAGAGGGCTCCTCCAGGTGTGGCACTCTCAGGCTCAGCACCCCCAGACTCAGCACCTCCAGGCTCAGCACCCCCAGGCTCCGCACCTCCAAGGTCTGCACCCCCAGGCTCCGCACCCCCAGGCTCAGTACCCCCAGGCTCAGCACCCCCAGGCTCCGCACCCCCAGACTCAGCACCGCCAGGCTCCTCACTCGCAGGCGCAGCACCCCTAGCAGGACGAGAGTCGACAGCGACCTCGACAGGCTCAACCGGGTCTACCTGGGACACACCTGAGGGAGCGGCACCCTGAGGGGGGAGGGGGTCTACCACAGCAGCACCTGGCGCGAGGAAGAGAGGCGGGGGGGGGAGCGGGGTAGTGCGGTAGGGGAAGAGGCGGTAGTAGGGGACGGACTCGTCAAAAGTGACGTCCTGAGAGGGCAGAACCCGGCGCGAGGTGACGTGGTAAAACTGCCAACCAGGGGCGTCCGGGACAAAGCCAAGGAAGACACAAGGAACAGCGCGACGGGAGAGCTTGTCCGCGGACGTGTCGCGAACAAAAGCTCGGGATCCCCAGACCCGGAAACGCGACGCATCGCCAGCCTCTCCCGTCCAACGCAGTGTCGGGGAAGTCTCCGGCAAGGAGACACGGGGCCAGAGGTTGAGCTGATGCGCAGCGTATCGGACCGCAAACGGCCACAGAAAGTGGGGAGCAGCCGCATGGATCAGGGAGGTACGAGCGATCTCCATGACCAAGCCAATGCGGCGCTCAGCAACCCCATTCTGCTGTGGAGAGGCCTTAAGCATGAACGACTGCTCAATGCCGTGCTCGGCACAGTAGGCTGCCAGAAGGTCGGAGGTGAACTCACCACCTCTGTCAGAGTGCAAACGCAGGACAGGAAAGTCCGAGCGGAAACGCTCGCTGAGCTGGAGACGAGCTCTGCTGATCCAAGGGATCAAGACATCAGGGACCTCACCCTTGGTGCGCAAGGGGAAGACCGTGGTGTAGCGAGAGTAGTCGTCAACAACAATCAGGAAGTACCTCTCCTGACCCTGTCCACGGACGCGGGCTGGGCCCCACACGTCCAGGTGGAGCGTCTGCAGGGGAGCAGTCGTCAGGGGAAAGGAGGAGGAGTGAGGAGCGGCGCGCTGCCGCCCCTCGACACAGGGAAGACAGGGAGGAGCAGGCGAGGGTGGGAGGGGAGGGAGCACCCTGGGAAGACCAGAGACAAGCTGCCGCTGGTGCATGGCACGAAGGCGCTGCACAGACGGGTGGCCAAGTCGGTGGTGCCAGAGAACGGTGTCGTGCACCAGAGAGCGACACGAGCAGGGGGCCGACAGCTGACCTGACGCAGACGCGGACGCAGCTACCTGAGGGGACTCAGTGGTCAGTGTGTACAGGTCCGACCCCGGCTGCCGAGTGAAGGTAGCCAGGTGACGGCCCGTCCGAGCACACGTGCAGTGTGTCACGCGCTCGTAGGCAGGGGTGAACTGGTGAACACCCGCATCCTGGAGCGCACAACCCGCCACCAAGTTCGTAGAGAACGAGGGGAGGTGGAGACCTGACAGTGTGCCCGACGGGACCGCAGGACAGGGAAGAACAGTGGAGGAGGTCGTAATGACCGGACCCCCAGAGGGGTCAGCGAGGGAGACAGCAACTGGCCGAGCAAGCGGCTCAAGGGCAGTGCGGTCACGAAAGAAACAGCGAGAAGCACCTGAGTCCAGGGTGAAGGTGTGCAGGGCCTCAGTCGACTCAGTACCAGGGGGCGCAGACTCACTAGGACCTAGAGTAGCAGCCTCACCAGCACCTAGGGCAACAGACGTACTAGCACCTAGAGCGGCAGCCTCACTGACAGGACACGGCAGCTGCACCTGTCCACTACCAGAAGCTCCCGAACGATGCACTCCAGAGCGACTACCACTACGGCCACTCCGACAGCTCAAACTAGCGTACCACTCACGCGCACGAAGCAGCTGGGGCGAAGGAGGACACGGCTGCTGCACCTGTCCACTACCAGAAGCTCCCGACCGATGCACTCCAGAGCGACTACCACTACGGCCACTCCGACAGCCCAAACTAGCGTACCACTCACGCGCACGAAGCAGCTGGGGCGAAGGAGGACACGGCTGCTGCACCTGTCCACTACCAGAAGCTCCCGACCGATGCACTCCAGAGCGACTACCACTACGGCCACTCCGACAGCTCAAACTAGCGTACCACTCACGCGCACGAAGCAGCTGGGGCGAAGGAGGACACTGCTGCTGCACCTGTCCACTACCAGAAGCTCCCGACCGATGCACTCCAGAGCGACTACCACTACGGCCACTCCGACAGCCCAAACTAGCGTACCACTCACGCGCACGAAGCAGCTGGGGCGAAGGAGGACACGGCTGCTGCACCTGTCCACTACCAGAAGCTCCCGACCGATGCACTCCAGAGCGACTACCACTACGGCCACCCCGACAGCCCAAACTAGCGTACCACTCACGCGCACGAAGCAGCTGGGGCGAAGGAGGACACGGCAGCTGCACCTGTCCACTACCAGAAGCTCCCGACCGACCCACTCCAGAGCGACTACCACTACGGCCACCCCGACAGCCCCGACTAGCGTACCACTCACGCGCACGAAGCTGCTGGGGCGTGGGGGACTCACGCGCACAGCCCTGGAGCTGCATCTGGCCACGTCAGGAGCAGCAGTAGCAGCAGTAGCGGCAGTAACAGTAGTAACAGCAGGAGCAGTGGCAGTGGGAGTAGAAAAGGCAGTTGCAGCAGTACTGGGCAATGCTCACCAGTGGTCGGCGCGGCAGGCGCAAGACGGTGGCGACAGTGGGGCCGCTACAACTGCAGGGCTGGGCCGGGCCGCAGCAGGGAGCTCCGCGGCAGCTGCGGCAGGGCGAGGCTGGGCCGCGACGGCAGCTGCTCCAGGTGCCACTGGGGCGGCTGCTGCAGGTGCGGGCTGCTCCAGGGGCGGCTGCTGCAGGTGCGGGCTGCTCCAGGGGCGAGAGGCGGATTAGGTCAGGGCGACGCGGCGGGCAGGTGGCGACGCCGCGGGCAGGGCGACGCGGCGGGCAGGTGGCGACGCCGCGGGCAGGGCGACGCGGCGGGCAGGTGGCGACGCCGCGAGTAGGGCGACGCCGCGGGTAGGCGACGACGCCGCGGGCAGGCGCCGACGCCGCGGGCAGGGGACGACGCCGCGGGCAGGCGACGACGCCGCGGGCAGGCGACGACGCCGCGGGCAGGCGACGACGCCGCGGGCAGGCGACGACGCCGCGGGCAGGCGACGACGCCGCGGGCAGGCGACGACGCCGCGGGCAGGCGGCGACGCCGCGGGCAGGCGACGACGCCGCGGACAGGGGCTACGTCGCGGGCAGGCAACGACGCCGCGGGAAGGCGGCGACGCCACGGGCAGGGCGACGCGGCGGGCGGCGAGAGCCTGCAGGGGCGGCGCGCGGTCGTGCAGAGGCTGCGCGCGGGCCTGACGGGTGTGCAGGGGCGGCTCTCGGGCCTGACGGGCCTGCAGCGGCGGCTCGGGGGCCTGACGGACCTGCAGGGGCAGCTCGAGAGCGCACGAGGGCGCACGAGGGCGCACGAAGGCGCACTAGCAGAGAAAGGCGCACGAGGGCGCACGAGGGCGCACGAGGGCGCACGTAAGGTAGAGCGCACGAGGGCGCACGTAAGGTAGGGCGCACGAGGGCGCACGTAAGGTAGGGCGCACGAGGGCGCGCCTAGCGGAATAGTGGGCCCATTGTAGAAAGCGGTCCTAGGTAGCAACCTAGGCTTCTGATACCATGTCAGAATCTAGAATAGAACGAGAATGGATGAACTAGCAGGAAGGTGGGTTAAAGTATGAAACCCTAAGTTTGTGTACCCTCTAAGGCTAAACCCACTATAGCCTACACAATATAAACATACAATGTTTGACATGGATGTGTTGGAGCCGTCGGAGTTGTACGAGGGGGGTGGCGTGTGAGCAGTGCTAGAGGTGCAGCAGGGGGTGTGTGACACGGGTGTGGGACAGCTGGGGGAAGTTGAGTGGAGGCAGTCGTCTTGTCGTCCGCAGCGCCTGAAGTCCAGAGAGCCACGACCCCCTGTGGCCTGAGTAGTCCGGGGCTCTGCGCCCGGTAGCCACACGTGAGCACTCCTGGTAGTCCAGAGAGCCACGACCCCCTGTGGCCTGAGTAGTCCGGGGCTCTGCGCCCGGTAGCCACAGTGTGAGCACTCGTGGGAGCACAGAGAGCCAGCTGCGCCTGTCGCCGTGTAGTCCGGGTTTAGCCTGGTAGCGACAGTTCTGCGCACTCCTGTTGCCCGTGTGTCTGCAGCTTCAGCCGTCGCCTCCCATCTTCTCGCCCCCACAGTTTCTCCTCCTCCTCACTTGCCCTCTGTGATAGTCTCTAGCTTTGCTTATAATTGTGAACCTACATTGCTCTGCCTGCTTGTTGTGCTGATTATACCCCACTTTGACTATGGGGGTGTGTCAGAATGTGATGTTTGTCTAGCCTGCATTGGGGTACTCTATAGCGAGTACGGCCCAAATTAGCGTTTGCTATATGTACTCTACTGCCTGCTGGTGAAAACCCATCTTTCCTGTTTCTAGTTTTCGCCTATGATTCCGACAGCGGGGAGGCACGCCTTCCACTGCTCCGTATCACCATTCTTGAAGCAAGAGGACTTCCCGCTGCAGCGGAAGCGAAGCCACTCGCCATAGCAGAAAGCCTTACGTTTAAAACGTCAGAAATAAGAGTGCTCCTATGCCCAGTCCTAGGCATAGGAGGTATAAGGGTTTAGAGAGTGTACTGGTGGTAAGCAAATCAAGATCTAGAAAATGCAAATGAGACTAGGTGGCAGGTCTGAGAGACCTGCCGGAATGTCAAGGAGTTTGTCTCCTTTATAGTAAACTCCTCTACTAGTCGAATCACAATCTTCAAAAAAATAAATCGAATTAAAAAAAAATTACATGCTGCTAGTCCAGAACCCTCTTTTCTGTTCTAAACTTCTGTCTACTGTTTTGACAGAAACCCCTTTTTTCTTACTGGGGTTTACTCAACCGGGTACAACCCCAACTTTCAAAAGTTCACATTCGGGCCACTTTGCTTGCTGCCGAAGCAACCTCGCGTCGCCTTCGGTTTTCCTTGGTGCACCCAACCTCGTATTCCCGAGGTTCCCGCGTTGCTAGGTTATCTGGCTATGTATTCGTGTCCCTCTCATTGTATCGTCAATTCACAGTGTCACAGCTTCGTTATTCGTTTTCCACGCAACTCTGTTTGACAACTCAAAACGTTGCATGTATATAAATGATCTATATTTTGACAAAGAAACATAATTGTACAATATAACCTTAATAAAACTATTGAAGTGAACTGCAATCAAGTAATTTGTTATTATTGACAGTAATCTGCTTGTAAATGTAAATGTAAATATCATTGTAAGAATTTTGCTTGTTTGTGGTTTGGAGTAAGAAGCGAACTAATCGCGATTCGCGAGGTTACCAATTCGTTTGATCGCCACCGCTCCTCCCACCGCGGTGTTGCGTGAAATGCGCCACAAATAATCTTGAATGGGGTCACCTCACCACCATTTTAGTGCTAGCAGATGGTCGTCTAGTTGTTCACCTTTCACCATCCTCTCCGCAATTCGCTCCCGGATTTCTGCTCCTTGCCGATTGAACCACAATCATTGCAGCTCCAAAATAGCCCGCGATTCATGGCGAGACGTTCCCAATCTGCCTTACGCCTAGTAGTGCATGTCGCCAGAATGGCTCACAGCGAGATGCGCTGCGGGGATCGAAGCCCGTGGTGATCTTCGGGTAGAAGAGCAGCAGCAGAAGCGAATTCCTCGTACCTGAGATCCAATCCCTCTTGTACTTGGCCGGTCAACGAAGCTCTCGTGTATACAATGCACAGCGGTCCTCAGCTCATTCCTCACACCATGGCACTCTCGCGCTATCTCATGCTGCTCGTCGTCTTCGCCGTCGCCCTCGCCGCGCATCTTCCCATCGGCGCTACCGCCCTCCACGGCGTCGGGTCGCCCACCTCGCTCCGCGCTCCAGACGACACCATCCAGGTTAAGCGTCCCCTCCCTGCCGACCCTCCGCGAACGGTGCCTGTGCGGGGCTCGAGTGCTTTAAAAACTCTGGAAGCTCGTCGCGTTCACTCGTCCATTCCTGGCAGCGCGCGTCCCTCGCAAACCCTTCCTTGCTGATTCTTTCCCGCCGCTCTCCGCCTCTCACTACCCCCCCTACTATCTTTCTGGTCCATATTCCACCAGGCCACAGGAGAAGCGCATGCGGACGGCGCGCGGCGCACTGCGCTCGCGAGGCGCGCGGAAGCAGTCTTCCGCTCGGCGGGGAGCTCCGCGACGGCGGGTGGGCCGCAATCACTCCTGTCAATGCTGCCGGCGCGCGCTCTTCCCCGTCGCGCGCTCAAGGAGAGCGCGACAGACCTGAACTCGCCGCTGCAGGTCGCTGAAACGGACAGCGAGAGCGACACTATCGAGGACAAGGACTTCGAGGAGGTCGTGCTTGACGACGGAGCGGCGGAGATCGGCGGATTTGCCCGCAGAGGGCTCGCGGAGGGCCAGCAACACGACGTGAAAAAGGTTGGGGGTGAATTGGCGAAGAAGGCGGGAGAAAAGTTGGCGAAAAAGGCGGCAGAGACTGTGGCGAAGAAAGCATTGGAGTCCGTGGGCGGTTCGGCAGTAGGAGGGGTTGCTTCGATCGTAGGCGTGGGAGGCGGGCCTACCATGCTTGGTAAGGTCGGCGCGGACCTTGAAAAATCCGGCAAAGTTGGACGCGTTATCGGAAAGGTGATGCAGAACAAGGTCGTGAACGCCGTAGTGAATACGGTGGTGCCCAAGCCGCTGATGATGGGGCTGAATGCTGTGGCGGGGAAATACGAGGATGTCAAGAAGGGGGTGGTGGTAGCGGGGAAAGAGATTGGGAAGGGTGCTAAAGCTGCTGTGAAGGGGGTGGGGAAGGCTGGAAAGGCGGTTGGGAAGGCCGTGGGTGGTGCAGCGAAAGGTGTAGCGAAGGGGGTGGGGAAGGCAGGGAAGGCGGTTGGGAAGGCCGTAGGTGGTGCAGCCAAAGGTGCAGTGAAGGGGGTGGGGAAGGCTGGGAAGGCGGTTGGGAATGCTGCTAAGAAGATCGCAGGTGGTATCGCAGGCCTTTTCAAGAAGAAGAAAAAGGCCAGTAAGTAGGATGGGACACGGACAACAACCCTGTGTGTGTTGGTGGAAAAGCAGTGGAACGGGCTGTACCGTTCTGAAAGCAGGCAAGATCTGTGGCGTTCCACCATGCTGCACGTCCCAGTGTGATGTAGCATGCCAGCAAAGACGAAAAGGGGCAGTTTGTATGTAATCTAGTGTTTTGATTGCTGTTTAGGAGTGGGGAATTAGCGTAGTTGGAAGGGTTTAACTTACGTATCAAGCCAAAGAGAATGAAACCTTCTGAATTGGAATCTTTCTGAACACGTGAGAGCCCGCAGCTCTCTGAAATCTGTGTTGCCCTGAGGGCTGGGGTGGTATGGTAAGTAAGAACATCCTGGATTCATCTTGTTTTCCCAGGGGTCAGGGTTGGGTGGCAAGTTTTACTGGTACGGTAACCAATACCTGACTCCACCACACCGGACCAGACCCTCCCAGACCAGGCAGACCGCCTCCTCTAGACAGAAGGGAGGGAGGAGGCCAAACCAAGTCAGATGAGCAACAGAGCCAGCAAACCAGGCCCTAACAGACTCTTACAGGCCAGACCAGGAAACACTAGGATTCAAAACAGGCCATACCAGGCAAAACTGGGCCGGGTCAGACCAGATGATTGAGCCCATATGAGGCCAGACCAGGCCCCAGACCAAGCCAGACCAGGCACGTGCTAAGCAGGGTTGACGTTTCAAATAGCATCTGCACGAGGTGACTTGTGGTGGATGACACAACTTAGCACACGTGGAACGTATGCTGCTATGGTTGCAATATGTGTTCACACTGGTACACACCAGCACAGAAGGCGGATGATTGAGAGGTCGTCTGCCTGTCTGGGTGCTGGAGATTCATTACATCATGGCGGGGGGAGGTGAGTGAGAAGGTTGTGTGGTGAAAGTGAAGGCCCAAGGACCGCAATGCTGTGTCTAGCATGATGCTACCGGTATGCTACTCTTGACAAATGAGAGAAACCTTCAAAAGGAAAATCAGGACACTGAACATTAAAGTGGTAACAAACTGTTAAATTAGAGATACACGTAAGGGGCCCAGAAAAAAGATTTGAAAACTCTCCTCACCAGAAACAGAGGAGTACACACCAGAACCAGAACAGCACCAAGTGATTCAGCAAGCAGAATTAACTACATTACACACAAAATTATCCTCATCCCTACCCTCATCCACCCAAGATCAAGCTGAGACATGCAGCACCATAGGGCACCACACATAATGCAGTACAGCTGTTACGGTTCAGAAGCGGTACAGCCCGTTACACTGCAGTTCCGCTCACATGAAGGTTTGTCCGACCCCCATTCTACTTCCTCTTGAAAAGGCCAGCGATCCCACCCCAGGCCTTCTTAGCAGCATCCCCAACCGCTCTACCTGCCTTGTTCACCTCATTCTTTACAGCATTACCCGCCTTATTCACCTCATTCTTTACAGCGTTACCCGCCTTATTCACCTCATTCTTTACAGCGTTACCTGCCTTATTCACCTCATTCTTTACAGCGTTACCCGCCTTATTCACCTCATTCTTTACAGCGTTACCCGCCTTATTCACCCCATTCTTAACAGCGTTCCCCGCCTTGTTCAACTCATGCCCTACAGCTTTCCCAACTTTCTCCCCTTCCCTCTTGATGTCATCATAGTGCTCCGCCGCAATATTCAGCCCCGTCATCAGCGGCTTTGGAGCCACGGTATTCAACACGGCGTTCACGACCTTGTTCTGCATCACTTTTCCAATAACGCGTCCAACGTTACCGGTTTTTTCAAGGTCTGCGCCGACCTTACCGAGCATGGTAGGCCCGTCTCCCGCCCCCACGATCGACAAGACTCCGCCCACAGCAGACCCGCCAGCGGACGTCAGAGCTTTCTTCGCCCCGTATTCCAGCGCCTTTTTCGCCGCCTTTTCAGCGGCCTTCTTCGCCAGGTCTTCCCCTCGCTTCTTCGCGTTGTTGTTGTTCTGCGGCTGCCCCCGAAGCCCTCTGCGGGCATCTCCGCCGATTTCCGCCACTCCGCCGTCAAATAAGACATCCTCCAAATCGCTGTCCTCGATACTGACGCTCTCGCTGTCCGTTTCAGTGGCCTTCAACGGCGAGCCCAAATCCGCCGTTGTCGCGCCGTCCTTGAGCGCGCGGCGGGAAAGAGCGCGCGCTGGCAGCATTGACAGGGAAGACTGTGGCGGGCGCGAAGGAAGTAAGAAAACGGGTCTTCGCAATGGAGGAGATGGAAGAGAACTTTTGGGAATGGAAAAAAGAGCGGAGGGACGAGATTCCAGGCCTGCGAAAAAATGGCGGGAAGGGGAATCTCCTGGGTTTTCAGCATCGGACTACCTTGCTGGCGTCGTCTGAAGCGCGCAGCGAGTTGAGCTGCCCGACGCCGTGGAGGGCGGAAGCGCCGATGGGAAGATGTGCGGCGAGGGCGACGGCGAAGACGACGAGCAGCATGGGATAGCGCGAGAGTGCCATGGTGTGCGAATTGAGGTGAGAAATGCGGCAACGGCAGGAATCCAACGCCGGCAGTGAAATGATAAGAGCCTTTTGGGTTATGAACTTGATAAGTGATAGCTCCCCTGAACTGAACAATGCCGCGATGGAAGTGTAGATGTCTTCCACTGTTCCTTTTCTACGCGGGAGGCGACACGGGTAATGATTCTACAGCGCGTCTTGTCTTGAGCTTCTGCGGCAGGGAGGGCAACACATTGGAAGCGGGCTGCATTTTGGAAAATACTATAATTTTGGGCCAGGCATCGTGGCAGGGCCTGGTAGCGCAGAAAATAGAACGTGTTTTGCGGAGGGGTTCAGCCGCGAATTAACGAACGGCTCGACTATCTGCCAACCTGAACGGCCGCCGCAAATCGCGGTGAATCTGGTGGATCGTTTTCAGAAATTATTCCTCGTCGAGGTCTCACGATTGCTTCCCCGTCTCATCTGGACCTTGGCGGGAGGCAGGGCAGAGCATTGCGCGATGGATTTGTGGGAACTAGTGTAATGGTGGGCCAAGAGGCAAAGTGGCAGGGCCTAATGCGGAAATTTGCCCGCACCTTGCGCTTATTGGAAATTATTCCTCCTCGAGCCCCAACAATTGCTTTCCTATCAATGTCAATCACAACCACGCGCCGCGACTGAACCGATATGAGGTTTTGAGGGTTATGAGTAAGCAAACTGGGAACAACGTGAAAGTGCTGTAAATTTTAAAGAAAAAAACTGATTGTGGCTCATAGGGTGCAATACATGCTTACATGTTTCAGAGGGCTTTCGACATACTGGATGGTCAAATTAAATTTCAAAACAATTTTTGCAACAAAGAACTTGATAATCTTTTGTATGATGGTATTTAACTTGAGGAACAACCCCGATTAGTATATGCACACGCACGGGCATATCAAGGGCTGACATCTTGGTTAGGAGTGATCATAACACCAGGTCTGAGGATGAAAATACGCACGGTAACCGAGTCTGTCGTAAGCCCTCAGACACACATAGTGCGGATGAATGGGTAAATTGATAAGGCCTACCTTCTTGAACATAACAGGAGCCTCACGTTTCCACCAAAAACCTTGTCTTGCCACACTAACAGGTGGTACGTTATAGAATAAGGCCCAAGGTTAAACATCTTGGGCAGTGTGCTCGTCGCAGCAGCATGTCAGCAGTGCTTAGGGTACAGACTATGCTAGAAGTTCCGTATAAAAATTAAACCATAGCTCCAACAGTCGTATGAAACTATGGTGGCATTGCACTGCACCTGCAATGCACTAGACATGGTAGTTGTCTGGCTCTATTGCATTGTAGCAAGCAATGTAGATAGCCTCTTTGCAAATTTTTCTTACAACAAGAACGTGGCCATGAGGATCAGAAGCAAAGGACCTTAGGTACCCTCTTTAGCTGCTTGCCACTCTTCCTGCTAGCATGCCAGCAGGGACACTTCACAAAAAGATCAACCGCCACTAATCAGCCAACCATTACATGAACCACTTTAATCATCAAGCCCGCAATTTCTCCCAATTACTGATGATACACATGGATGCGGATGCCTCATTCGCCCAGCTCAAACACCCGCAAAGCACCACAGGTATTGCATGCTTTCTAAAAAGGCCTTTCCCCCCACAAACCAAATTTCCACAGCACATAATCATCATGATGACTATTCGCAGGTTTGGATGTTCACTTACCGAACTCTCACCACTACTGGGCGAGCTCATCAGCACCAACCCTTTAGACTCTGGAATGCCACTACGAGTACCCTTTGACCTTGCCCACACCCTACTTATCAGACTTCTTCCCGTCCTGCTTGTCCTTCGCTTTCCCCTCCAGGCTCGCCACAACGCCCTTCAATGCCTCGAGCGCTGACTTGGCTGCAGCGGAAACCTCAGTGCTTGCCTTACTGAACGCCGTCTTGATTGTTTCAATGGCGCTCTCCACTTTCGCCTTGTCAACGCCGCTGTCCTTGCTGAGTACCGCGGATGGCAGTGGAGACCACGGCTTTGCTCCCGCAACGTGGAAGTTTGTCTTGGACATGTACACGCGGGAGGCCGTCCAACCAGCGGGGATGATGTTATCGAGTACAATCTTCTCTCCCGAGTTCGCTGCTGTAACGCGTACGCTCATGGGCTTGCCACTGCGCACGATGTTCTTAGCTGCGTCCTTTGCGTCCTTGCGGTTCACCGTCCACGTGGCAGCCCCGCCCTTCCGCTCCATCGCCACCCACTTGTTTCCATCGTTCGATATCTCGACTCCCCCGATGCCCAATCCTCCAGCGCCGAGAATCTGGATCCCGAAGTCGCTTTTCTTGGAGCCGCTCACAACGCGCACAGCCATGCTGCTCGTCGCGTTGCACAGGACCTTCTTGAACTGCACGTCCACGTCGCGCCGCTTGCGGTCCGCCACGAGCCCGTCCCACGACACGTCGGATAGCTGAAGCTGGGAGGTGTACCTCGCGAGGCCCACAACGCGGGCTGTAATACTCATGGTTGTTCCATTCGGGCCTTGGCAATCCTTCGCATTTGAGCATGAGACTGTGAAGCATGCTCCACAAGCCGCGCCCTTTTCGTACATGTCTTCCGGAATGTACATCGTATGCCCGTGGTCGAACCGGCCGCTCATGTCGAAGCTCCCCTCGAAGCCGCAAGTGCCGCCGCCCTTGTTGATGTCCTTGCGAAGGACCGCGCGGGGGGAGACAAAGACCTTCATGTAGATTCCTGAGGGGACTGGTTTCGGTGGGTCTGCCGCCTCGGCGAAGCAGAGCAGCCAGGTGACGAAGGACAGGACGAAGAAGAATCGCGCGCACGAAATTGGCAGTTCCATGGTAGTAGTCCTACGCGTGTAGCCTAGAATTTTGTCAAATGCTGGAATGATGAGAGGAAAGGAGTGGGAACTAGGGGTACTTATTGACGAGCACTTGAGTTGGGACTAGTAGTGATTTTTGGTTCCAATGTGAAATAGGACCTGCTTTGGTGTGTTTCCGTTCGGTTAAAAACGATTCAGCGATGAAACGAAAGGTACTCTAGTTCCCGCTCGGTTGCTCCGTCAGCCCAATAATTCCCCACCCCAGCACAGCACATTTCGGTGTAAGCTCAAATCGAATTGCGAGTCGCGGTGGGAAATCAGCCGGATATCTCGCCGTGGTGTGCGGCAAGAATGTCGACCAGTAACGCCCCGATATCTGATGGGCAGAGTAAGTATTTCAAAGCAAGTCCATCGCTCTGCAAACGGGTAGATATACGGCAGGGACTAGCCTGCTTGTGGGCAGCTGCCACAATAATTGGATAATTATGGGTGGAGCATGAAACCTTGGCCCCCCAAACCGCGTTGAACATCGTACGTGCATTATCTTATAAGAGCGTGAAAGTCAAATCACTGTATAAACTATTTACTGAGAAAAAGCTTTACACTTCATACACATAACTATAATGATACTTTCTCACAGCGTAAACTTTCAAATCTGATTATCGCCATAACATTCTTCAGGAAAATGAAACGATTTCTGATTCTCAGATGCATTGGGAAACTTTGAATTGTTGCACCAATTTTTTAATGTACCGTAGCGCGTTTGAAATACTTGTAGTGTTAGATGACAGTATTACTTGTAGCGCGTTTGAAATACTTGTACAATAACAGTATTAGATGAATTGTGAAACAGTGCTCACCATCATGGAGCATGGAACCCCGCAAACAACCTAGGTGTGGTATTTGTTAGATAAATAGAGTCGTTAACAAGCTATCTGCTTTCACTCACAACGCGACACACACAACGCACAATAAACTGATGTGTCAGGCTCTGTGTCAGGCTCTGGTGGGGCGTTATTCTTTGGGTGCAATATGAATGTTTATGTGAGGTTGTAGGGTGGGAATTAGGGATAGGCATCCTAGGTATTGTTTGCGGGATTGTAGAAAACATCCGTTTTCATGCTTCTAATAGACCAACTCGCTGAAACGCCACGGCTGAAAGCAGTTTGCAGTAGACGGTCGTGGCTCCTTGATCCGTATGGACAAGACAACCATTTTTGGCAATTGAAGCAATAACCTGGCTTGTGCTAATCTTATCATGTGGAACCATGAAAACCAACTACAATGGTACTATACAATCAGAACACATGCTATCTGACCCACGAAAATTTTGTGAGAAAGCAAGGGAGTTCCTTTCAACCCTCGTAGCCGGCGCCAACAAACATCTCCGAATCCTTATCCCACCAGCAGTTTCAGACCCGTTCTCCGAATCCTTATCCAGCATCAGTTCACCCACTTCGTAGCACCGTTTTTCAAATTGAAAACTTGTCGCCACCCTTCTCGTCTCTAAACGGTTGCGCCGCCCGCGGGCTTGGGCTGCTCCTGCTCGTCGTACACGTCACTCTCTTCGTAGCGGCGCTTGATGAGCCAGTACGCGAGGAAGACGACGCCTCCGAGCAGAAGAATACTCGAGATGATGAGCGGGATGACAATCGCCCACCGCGGCTCTGACCAATGATTGTCGTTGTGGGGCAGAGGAAAGGTTACATGAAATCAGGACGCAGCGTGGCGTTATTGCCGTTTTAGGCGTAAGGACTCGGTCGTGCCGCATCTCTTCTGTAGCTTGTGAAACGCAACTATTGTGAAACTGCAAGGTTGAAGCTGCAATGGTAAGAAAACATGAGGTGTGATGCAGGCAAGTTTTAAGGTTGAGAGGCACTCACGATATTTCACCTCCCATACTTGTCCGTTCTGGTCAACCACGAAGCCCGCCAGAGCACTTTGACAGGCCAGCAGCAGCAGCAGAAGGGATAGGACAAGACGACGGGGAAGGCCAGTATCCATGGGAAACAAGAGGGGCTGGGTAACGTTGGGGTCCGTTGTGGCTATGTAAAGCTCGTCAGGAAGAGTGCGAGAAACTTGCGAATCACCGAATGGAAGAAGAAACAAGCGGGAAATGCGTAGGGCTTTTCTTTCTCCGAACTGAACGTCAGTTATGATGGGATCACCTTTTAGCTTGCGGGTGGGAGGTGGACTTTCGTGTGACGAGAACTCGCAGTACTGGTGGGGTGGGGGAGTAAATAATGGTGCGGCTGTCCATGCGGGAATTGGCGGATTTTGATAGCGCTTCGGGTACAAGGAAGTCGCGTTTCGTCCCCAGGGCCCAGTTTCGAAGTAAAGCGCCAATTGCGCTGGGCTTGCGATTGGGATTATTGGGGAAGGCAGTGTAAGAAAGCGCTGTATCCATACCTCTGTTTCTTTCATACTTATTCTTTCATACTTACATAACTTTCTTTCTGAAGTTTGACATTTCTGTCACATATGTCCCTGGCTATCATCAGTGTACTAAGGCCCTTACCACATCATTTATACATCATATCTATGAGCCATAAACATTGTTTTAATGAAAGGTATAACTTGCCTTATTCTTTTTTCATACGAAACCAAAAATGCCGAAAAAAAAAATGGTGTAATCTGTTCTAAATGCTAAACTGCGTATTAGTATAATGGCTAAAAGAACCAATTGTCAGACACTATGTTGTTGTTAGGCTATATTGTCAGTAGACCTGCACTGTAAGATCCCCGAATGGTCTTGTAGGGGTTACTGTCAATTATTGTATCCTTTAATGATGCGTGTTGTTGGAATAGTAGCTAACACTTAGTAGCTGTTACGATATAAGGTTTCATGAGAAGGCATTCCTGTATGCTGCAGGAGCCGACTCTACCGAGTATGAAGTCGAGGAGTCAGAAGAGTCGAAGCGACACAGCAACCGTCTGACCAAGACCGATGCAGGCAGAAACATTTGAAGTGAAAAAGGCGGGAACAGGTTTGAAACTGATTCCCGCGCCGCACGGTTTGAATTTCGCTGCAATAAGGGAATGTACCCCTTAGAGTACATGGCTAGTCTAGGTCGTTTCGCATTCCTTTGTATTTCTATATAAACCCTATGTATGCATGCTATAATCAATCTCAGTCATTACTACTACCGCTACTTCCGCTGCGACACTACCTGCGATCAACCCTGAACGATCTTTTGCTAAGCCACACTTCAGATTGTAACATGGTATGAGAGCTGCTCAGGGATTCTTCGGAACGTTACTTCCGTAAAATTCGCCAAACCAAGATCTGGCGAGCGGCACACGATCCAAGACCAAGATGGCCGGAGGATCCGGAGGCCAAACGAATCTAACGGCCGAAGGACAAACCAACCCGGCTGCGACAAATGAGGCGACAACTACGATCGGCACTGCCGCGCTCGAGCAGTTATTCGCTCGACTATCAACAATGGAGAAAGAACTCCAAGAACTGCGCAAAGGCGATGCGGGAACCACTTCCCAACCAGTTCAACCTGGACAACCGGCTGCGAAAAGCCGCGATACCGCCGCGCATGGCTTCTCCCTCGACTCAGACAAATCTGCAACAACTGCCCCTCGTCCAAGCGACGAAACCATCAACTCTGCGCAAGCATGATTCATCAGCGTGTCAAAGATCAAGACCACTACCGCGTTTGACGGCAAGGATTTTTATACATGGAGTTTTGAGCTTGAGCTCCTCCTACAGACAGCGCAGATCTACCACTACTTTGACGGCTCCTATCCTAGACCAGTGGAAGACACCGAAGACGCCCGGGCTCAATACTACAGTGAGTCACTTATGGCGTATAGCGTCCTGCTGCGCAACATGTCGCCAGCAGAACAGCTCGGCATCCGCTCCTACAAAGAGAGCGCTGCTCTGGCTCTTGAAGCCTGGAAGCACCTCGTGGAGGTATATCAGCCGAAGGATTCCGTCACTGCAAGCCGTCTCCTGCAACAACTCATGGAGACGAAGATGGGGCACGGGGAGAAAGCAAACAGTTACATCAACCGTTGTCGGAACATCCGTGATCAAATCATCAAGAACGGAAGTTCGATCTCGGAGGAGATATTTGTCAACATCATCCTCCAAGGACTTGGGCCTGAGTGGAAGCCCTGCAAGGCGCTACTCCGACAACGAGGACAGCTCTCCGAAGCCGCGCTATGCGCCGCCCTGCTGACTGAGCAGCAGGACATGGACTCGAGCAGAACGAGTTCCGCGCCACGCCGAGAGCGACTCGCCTTCTACACAGACAACCGTGAAGAGCGACGACAACCAAGGCGCCATTACTGCAAAATATGCAAAGCCTTCGGGCATTCAACGGATCGATGCAAATCCCGATCCAACTATCGGCACCCGAATTCCACTCACCACAACAACTGGGTCAGCCGACAAGACGCTCGTCATTCTCAGCCCCAACAAACAGCTTCCCGTACTCCTGCACAATAACAACCACAGCAGACACAAGGATCTCAAGGAGGAGCCCCTAGAAACGTGGTAGCAAACATGGCGACGCGACGCCGCCGCACCACCGAACCTGACGAAGAAGACGAACGCCAGGGAGTTCTGCCGTAACCAGAAGAAGGGTGGAACAATCCCCTCACGGAAGACCACTATTACCTGTACGACGAAGACGAGCAGGATTGGAACCAGCCAATCACACTGCAGGAAAGCCCGCCACACAACAACCAACTCTACGTACCTGTCGGCTGGAAGGAAGACGAAGACCCGTCCTTCCACAGGCGCTACAAGGCGACGCTAGTGACTCCACGACTCGCGCTGCTGCTCCGCAATAACAACCAAGACAATCATAATACCTGGTACCTGGACAGCTGCTGCGGACAGCACATGGTGGGGTCGACTCGCTACGTATCGAACCTCAACCGCGCCCCCGCAACTTACGTCACCGTTGCTAATAGTCACCAGCTATGCGCCAACTCCCAAGGCATCGTCATCCTGCAAGCACGAGACAGCAACACCCACATCTCGTTCAACGACGTGCTCTACGTCCCAGACCTACGCTTTAATCTCCTCTCGGCAGGACAACTTCGCGACTGCGGCGTCATACTCACCACGGACCTGGCCACGCGAGATCTCATCCTCACGTACGCCCCTCCAGACACACCTCCCGAGTCGTTCAAATACCTCGGTCGAGCCCGCTCCATAAACAAGATCTACGTTCTGGACTTCGACGTACCAAGCTGTGAAGCCTCGTTCGATGAGCTCGTGGACCTGGTCCCCCTCGAATTCGCCTTCATGAACGAAGAATCGTGGCAACACCCCAATGGGCGACCGTGGATTCGCCGCAGCCCACATCCGCGCGAAATCAATCTGCATAATCCTGACATCAACGGACTCTGCACCACCTGCCACACACCCGCGGCAAGCCGTACGGAGCAAGTCGAGAGGGAGTACGCAGTGATCCAGGAGGCGGAAAGCGCTGAATAGGAACCCACTGGCATGACCGAGGAAGAACTTGCAGTGTCAACTTACCGTATCTTTGGGGAAGAAAACAAGCAATTCGGTCACCGGCCTGATCCGCGCCCCACACCACGCTCCGACACCCTCCGATTCATCCTCGAGGCTAACGCCACCACCATCGACGAAGAAGGCCGCCCGCGCCCGTACACCCGCGAAGTCTACCGCCGCGAAATTGACCCAGCCTGGAAAGACCCTGATGAAGCAGAAGAGTTAAGCGTCAAGGAGGAACAAGACAAGGCCAGAGCAGAGAAGAAACAAAAGCTGTACGAAGAGCGCCTTGCAGCAGGCTGGAGCGAGGAGTCTGCACGACGTGGCGGCTGGGGGGGCGATGACTACAAGCCCGAGGATGGTGCTACCTGGGCATCAGCCACTGGAGCATGGGGAGCCAGCGGCAGCGGCATGGTTACTACTGGAGGCTAGGGTACTGCAGAAACAGCTGAGGCGGACCTCACACAAGAGGAGCTGGAGGAAGCAGAACGGGAAATGCGCGCCGAACGTGGAGAAAAATCACCCCGCGTCGCAATACCCCTCGGACGACTGCCACCTGCACGCTCACCCCCCCGGTCACCATGGCGCTGGGACAGTACCTGGACGGAGCTTGAGGAGGGGAACGTACCTCCAACACCTGCCCGAGACTCCCTTGGTCCAATCTCCCGTCCAGATCCATTCGCCCGCTTCATTGAGGGAACAACAAAACCGCTCACCGTCATCCCCGACCGCGAATTTCTTGCGCTCTACCTCTCGACCGCACCTGCAGAAGGGGAGACAACTGTAGAAGAAGGAGCAGAAGGAGCAGAAGACGAAACCGAACCAGGAGAGGAGGAGGAACCACCGCTCCAAATTCCGCAAGAGACGGAGGAGGAAGCAGCGGAGCATCGCGCACGCTACATGCGCAGCAGCGGCATTCGCGCCGAAGATGATCTCTGGCACTAGCGACTCGGACATCCCTCATGCCAGACTCTCGCCAACTGTCTCCACGCCAAGGTCTTTCTCCCAGGAGCACTCCTCCGCCTCGACGGTACCGAACCACACAACACCCCACACCCACTCACCTGCACCGTCTGTCCCACTGCCGCTCTTTCTCACAGCGCATATCCTTCGCTGGAGCCAAGCACCAACCGCTACAAGAAACTGCAGAAGGTGTACAGCGACTTCATTGTACTCACCTGCGACGGACTCAACGGCGAAAAATACACGCTGACCTTCATCGACGCCTACTCTCGCCACGTCTGGATCGCCAACGTCGACGCACGGTCCAAGGCTCCAGAAGTCTTCCGCATCTGGCTCGCACACGCACAGCGACAGTCAGGGAGGAAGCTGAAAATCTGGCAGAGTGATGGCGCCAAGGAGTTCCGCAGCCACGAGCTGGAAAGCGTCCTCACCGAAAAGGGGATCAAGCATGAGATCTCTCTCCCCTACGCTCATCAACAGCAAGGAGTCGCAGAGAGGGTGAACCGCACCCTCATGACGAAAGTGCGCGCCCTCATGAACCAGTCCGGCCTCCCCAAGAAGTTTTGGCCTTACGCCATGAACCACGCGGTGCGCCTATACAACCTCCTCTCCACCACGGCCAACAGAAACAACCTTTCCCCGCACATGAAATGGACCGGCTCAAGGGGAGATCCCTCCATGCTGAGGGTTTGGGGGTGCATGGTGCAGTATCGGCCAACTTCAGCCAACATCGGCAAGTTCGCTCAGCGTGCATGCTGGGGGGTTCATCTGGGGCTTAGCAACGAGCACAAAGGCTGGCTCATTCTTGACATCGACAACAAGGAGATCGTTCCCGCACGAGATGTTATCTTCTACGAACGACTCACCTTGAAGCAGTGGATCGAGGACGAACAGCGCAACCAAGCTCGCGGCTATGCTAACAGCGGCCGCAGCTTTGCATCTCCCGAGGATGAAGCAGCAGC